AAAAATTTATTCATGTGGGGTCCATCCCATGTGAGAGGGTGGACACCCTTAAGTAACCCAAATTATGTACATGTAGTATATCTCTTTAATATATTATACACGAAATTCATACATGATAAGGATTTTTTAGTATTTACAACATATTGAAAAAACGAAAAATAAGGTATTATTGAAATAATTGGATCGTAGTAAGGTTAAAATCGTCTAAAAAATGATTCTCACTTGATGTGATATTTAATATATTATAAATTTACTACATATTGAAAAAAGAAAAATAAGGTATTATTGAAATAATTGAATAGTGGTAGGGTTAAATTCGTCCAAAAAATGATTCTCACTTGATTGATGTGATATTTAATATATTATTATAGATTAATAGCAGAAAATTCTCTTAAAAATGTTTCTATTTGCGATATATCTCCCTACATATTGGAAATCGCAAAAAATCTCCCTATTTAAAATCTTTTGTGCGAAAAACCCATATGTCGTCAAGATTTGTTAGATTTGCCGTTAAAACAACAAAAAATGACAAAATTAAAATGAAATAATTACAATTTCAGTACCCAAAAATGAGAATGAACGCCAAAAATCCAATTGATTCCACTTCATCTTTTCTCCATTAAATGAACGCTACTTTCTCATCATTCTATTTCACCTGTTTAGATACACAATAAAAAGTACCAAAAATGAGAATGAACGCCACTTTACAAATCATCAATGACAACACCACCACCAAAGCCGCCAATTTTCTCCACCTCCACCGACTGTGGCCACCATACAACACTCGCCATGGCACTTTCTAGTACCCTACCTATTCGGTGGCCTTGCCACCGTGCTTGGACTAATTGCATTTACGCCTATCAATCTTGAAAATCATGTAAGCTCAATTAGGATGTCGCACCGGTGCAAAAGGCACTATGTTCGAAGCCGACGATGCGATGGCTGAAGTGGACCGGCCTTCAAGTTTCTATTAATGTGTGTACTGTTTATCATATCTTCTTCTTTATTTATTTCAAAAAGTATGTTTTGGTATAATTTGCTTACTGATTTTGTAACTATTGGAATGCCAAAGCGCAATTATCCAGTAATTAAAAAATGTCTTTAATTTAATAAACAAAATCATCAAGTTGTTCATGTGTATGCTATACTAAGAGTTAGATATTTGAATTTTTACCTAAATTCAATTATTAATTCTTAAATTAATTCTGAATCACGAACTTCTAACTTTTTGGATTACGAGCTTCCAACTTTTAATTGTAAGAACTTGATACTTCAAACCTCCAAGTCTTCTATGGTATTCTCCAAACCCTACATCGGTGGGTGGACATCTTTTTTTAATTAAATCAAGAAACTAATTTTGGACAATAAGAAAATATAATTTTTCTCACTTTTTCTTTCTTTTCAAAATTGAACACTGTGAAATTATGTATTATGATTGTTGTTAGATTTTTATGTCCATCTAATCTCTATTTATAAAGATAAAGACGTTCAAATCCATATAGAATTATAATTCCAATATCAAATAGGAGTCTTAATTAAAATTCAAGTATGAGTCTTAATTAAAGTTCAAATCCAATTAATTTACATTTAATTACATGTGTAGTCATAGAATTTCAATTATAATTATAATTATAATTAAGTGCTTGTTTGGTAGGGATTTTTGAGGGAAGAATTGATTTTTGAATAGTGATATGATGGGAAATGTGTGGTTGAAAAGGAAGAAAAAGGTTATTGATGTGATGGAAAGTATTATTTTATTGAAAAATGTGTGGTTGAAAATGAGAATTGATTTACTGTAGAATTTGAGAATCAAAAACAAACAGGCCAAAATTAAAAAATTAGCTGTTATTGTTGACTTTTATTAGACGAGTGAGATCCAATAACGACTATATTTTCAATTTTAATTGAATTTTAAAATTAGCCAAACATGCTAGTTCGTAATCTAATATTTCACATAACTATGTGATGCATGTATTCTTCGATGTTAAACTCTCTTTTTTCTAAACCACTTGTGTAAATTTTTGCCAATTTAATCCACTTTAACTCCGACTTGTCTGAAATATTTCGAAAACATCTCTTTAGCGCTCTTTATTCTTGTCGATTTTTCCATATTCGCTCGAAATATATTGAATGCCATGTAATTAAAGAGAAAAACTTCAAAAACCCTCCTCATGTGGAGCATAACAATGCCATCGGCGGTGTTGCAAAGTTCGTTTACAATGTAGTATTGTTATTCATGGATTGGGAGGATTTTTGAATTGCTAGATACTCGAGTTTGGAATTCAATCAAGAATCTTGATCAATAGCATCGTCACAACCTTAGATTATAGGTTAGAATTCCTCGAATTATGATGGCGATGACTGAACTACAATTTAAAAATAATGCAATTTTTTGGAAAATAATGTAGGCAACATTGCAAGTCCATGTAAAAACTTAAACGTGGCTGGAAAAAGCCTCTTTCCAAAATTAATTTTTTTAAATAGAAGTTAATATAATGTGTTGTTGAAAATTAGCGAATTCGATGAAGGCCCTGTTTGGTACACATTATTTTTTTTCATTCTCATTTTTTTACTCATTTTCAACCACGTATTCTTCAATAAAATAATATTTTCCATCACATCAATAAATTTTCCTTCATTTTTAACCACACATTCTCTATTAATCTACTATTCAATAATACATTATTTCAAAAAAATGTGTCCCAAACACACTCGAAATATGTAAATAAAATTTATTGTTAAGCTTACCTTACATTTTCATTGAATTTTTGTAACTGAAGCGAAAAAGGGCAAAGTTAATTGAGAAAAAAGCACATCAAATTGCCGATAAGCCACCTAAATAATTCAATTAAGCCCTTGTTTGACAATCATTAAAACAAAACTTCTGTTTTCTCAATCTCATTTTCTATCACGCTCTGACAATAAAATATTTTGTATGTAAATCCAAATTTTGTTCATACTTTTTAACTACACATTCTCTATCAAAACATTATTCCAAAACTCATCCGCCCTCCCCAAGAAATAAATAAATATTTTTTTAAAAAAATTAACTGATGGTATATTAACCAGATTGACGTAACTGGTACATTTTAGAAAGTAAAGTCACCATTTTGGAATGAAAAGAAATTCAGCGACCAATACGAATATTCTCTCAAAGTACAAGACGATATGGGGTTTAACCATTTTATATTTGCATTCATGTCACTATATTTCAGTTCTTTGACATGTTGGTACCTGAAATTCTTGTTCTGTTTTAAATCCGATTATGAACACTTCACAAACATGCTTTAATATAAGATTTGACATGGGTTCTATGCAGAGATGCAAAAGAAAAAAAAAAGTCAAAGTCTACAAAGTGTAATTAATTTTGTTTAATTAATTGGCAAAGACAAAAAATAATAATAATCCGTGGGAGTCCTTGCATTATTGTAGGACTGACCAGACTAAGTACAACAAAAGATTAAGTTAACAAATGGATCCAAGCTTAGGTCATTATTGCACCTGTAATCTGTTGAAGCGGTCTGCAGCAATTGATAACGATTGTATAGAAATAGGGAATGATCGACCCATCTGCACATACTCACAAGTTACTGAATTAGAAAGGGAGTCTTACGCTAAGCAAAAGGTCGAAAGTGCGAAGGCAATTAAGAGCATACACGCAAAGAACGACTCATCTTTAAAACCAAAACATAGTTTTAGTGTAATGCTGCAGCTCATTTAAGTGAATTATTTATAACCAGTAAAAAACAAGATTCCCGAGCTCACCGTGCTGCAAATATGGAAGGAGTCGACATATCCAGCATACTTGGAACCTGCAAGTAAAAAATTGTCTAAGATCTAGAGAAAACCAATATATCACGTGGCAACAATATATTGTACATTGATTTTCATTTTTTAATGTAAATATAATGGTGATAATATATCAGATTTTTCTATCTTCAAACTCCAAAGAGTTCGAGTTTTACATTCTCTAGACCTCTATAACCAATTATTTCTACCCCATTTCTGCACTTTCCTGTAGACCAAAATTTATATCACGTGATCCATAATTCTTTTGTTTTCTCCCTGTCCTCTTCACCTCTCGATGTAAGTTGTGTTGACTCTCCTACTTCCAAGGATTTTCCTATATATGTTTCTGTATCCAAGTTCCTACTAGTTTGCCTGGTATATGGCATATCCTTCTGGTGAACTGGTGAAATTTTTTAGGTGTCATGTGTATCAATCCTTAGAAGTATTATGTATGTAGAGAGATCTTCTTGAGTAGCACCGAATTTTTTGAAGCAATGCCAAAATTTAACCAAATTCTTATGGAGTCAAAACAGCACCAAATTAAGCTGGAATAGAAAGATTGCACCACATATATGTTACCTATTAAATAAGGGATAAGATAAGACGTGGAATTTAGTTTACAATATCCGTGTCCGCAAATATACTACTAGAATTTTCAGTCTCGTGCACAACTGGTATTACTAGATGAGATGCAACATATGTCCACCCAATCTCGTTTTACCCAAGTGTGATGAATAATGATATACCTAAGAAGACATAATGGACACCACTTACTTTTCTTTAAACCAGCAGGTTTTGCAAGCAAGAGAGCATTCACAAAAGCGCCTACATTTTCTCGTAAAGCTTCCTCCGAATAACTAACCTATAAGCAGAGAATTGTTATCAGATACAAGAGTCAGTCATACAAGACAGAACAAATTACTCAGGAATACAGATACGAAGTAACCATACCTTCCCTATTCCTACATGCACAATTGCAGTTTTGTCTTTCTTAAAAACTATACTCTGTGCTTTCGCATCTTTAACTGTCTTAGTTATGCCGTTGGTCACAGTACCTTTCTGCATAATTATGAGATGCTTGTGAGACATTATTGCTACTTTGCCATCGCCAGGAACTATGAAATTGATAACACAAGGACACAACTTACCTTAGCATCTGGCATTAATTGCTTCAGATTTTTTGATAACTGTGAAGTAGAAAATATAAGATACATAAACGGATAATTAAACGCTAACAGCACAATGTGGAATTTAAATTTGCAAAACCTTTTTCACGTGTTCCATCATGGAAGGGGTAGCAATACATTTGTCAAAATTTATCTTGATTTCACCTGCATGTTATAGGAATAGATTCAGTTGATACTTCTTTTGAAAACTTTTCAAAAGTAGGATTTAATTGACTTAAAAGTTATTGAAAGAACTTAATTTTCCTTTGAGATATAAATAAGAATCATATGCAATTTGTTTTAAGTTATCTGAAAAGCTATTATTTGCCAGAAATAACTCAGCAAAAAAATCGAGATCTTTTTATGCTTTTTAACATCACAATATGCCAAGTCATGAAAAAAAAACAGAGAGAGAGAGAGACTCATGATATCACGTGCTCAAAGGGCTTGGTAGATGGTATTTGTTTTAGTCCTATAACTTACTCCTTTTATAAAGTAAAAGGCTTACTTCTTTATAAAATAGTTACTCTCAAAATATCTATATTATTTATAGGTAAATTTGATCACAAATACTCCTTGTAGCAAATCCAATGCCCATATCTTAACATCATATGTGTTTCTATCTTCTCTCTCCCCTTTCAATTGCCACCGTAAATAGGCCTGCATCTTTCTCCCCACGGGTGGGCAACCAAAGCTTTCCCTTGTATCCGTGACACTCACCCCCTCCCATGCTATTGATGTCACATTTCAAGGGCAATTTGGATAATGGGAGAAAGAACAAACAAGCTATTAACATTTCAAATTGCTAAATAATGTTCCAACAGGTACTGGTGGAAGATGACTGAACTAAAAATGATAAATGTTTTTTTCATTTTTCATTTTTCATTTTTACTTATTTTTTTGTTCATTTATTTGTTTTAGGGGAGGGATATAAAATGAAGCGACAGATACTTATCAACACAGTGTAATAAAGAGAGTAATAAATCACCACTCCTAATATTCTCCACAAGCTCTGGGCCGCCAACAATATCAGCTCCAGCATCTCGGGCCTCATCTGCAGCAGCTCCTTCAGCAAAGACAGCCACCCGATATGTCTGGGAAATGATTCCATTTATGAGACAAAAGAACTAGAGCAATAAGATTGTAATCGCTGAACCTGTAAAGCACCACTTGTACCTTTCCAAACCCATGCGGGAGACGAACAAAACCATTGAGTTTCTGCATTTCAACAAAGAGAAATGAAGAAAAAGATAAATCCTCTTAAAAGCCTAATAGAATAGAATCTTATAGCACAAACTGGTTTCCCATTCCAAAAAAAACGTCAGGGAAGGAAGTATAGAATAAATTTAATCTAGTCAGAAAACGAAGCCATAAATATTAAGGACTTAAATTATATGGTAAATTCCTTTACTCCCTTACCAGCTTGGTTTATTAGACTTCGACCTTTAACCATTATCAATTTTGGGTGTAAAAGTGATAAGTTAAATCAACAACCTCTTTTTCCATTTTTACCTTAAATGTTATTCCTCATCACTAGATACAAAATTTCCATCTTCTATCTTTTGATTTCTCCCAGGAGATTAAACTATTTGGAAAATGGGAGGGATGGCACTCAAAATTGTAGAGACAGTAAATAAACTTCACCATACAATTTTTTTTCACGTATAGTAATTCAACATATCCTCGAGACCTCTTATAAAAATTTAGAAAAATAGTGCTTGTTGTATGAAAATAGCAAAATGCGAAGAATTTGTAGTATTAAAGGTATATATGAAACTAGCCTTGATATTAGGAGATGCAAGAAGAAGAACGTACCAGATCAGTTCGTCGTAATTCAGGGGTCATTTTTACATGTGCTTCCAAAGTTTCATCAAAATTTCTACTCTTATCACCCTGTACGAACACTAAAACTATAAGAACGAAAATAACAGTCATCACTCTGTACGAACACTAAAACTGATACAATGCACAAGAACTTAATCTCACAAATTCTATTTCAAGATCAAACTTAACAATTCAAATGTCAAAAGTATGGATTTAAATGCTAACTCCAAACCAATTACAGGAGATTCAAGAGTTTTATCAAACAAAACAGTGAAAAGAGCACTCAAAAACCAACCTTAATGGACCGAATAGCCTCCTTTAGATCATAAATCACCTTGCGCTTCTTCTTACTATTCTTATCATCATTCTCCACCTTAATCAGGGTCGGGAATGCCACATTATCGTCCTCCTGTTCCTCACCCAATACCCGCCTCCTCCCCATCATCACGTTCCGTTTTTCGTCGTCAATCCTCCTTCTCTCCCTCTCCAACTCGTCACTCTCATTTTTACTACCCTCCTCCTCTACTTTCACGCGGTCCTCAGGTAGCGGGGCAACCAGGGATGGGTAAGAAACTGGGGAAATCAACGGTACATCCTTGATGTACCGCATTTCATCCCGGGTCCACGTCCGGGTTCCCTGATCGGCTTGAGGTGTGGTTTGTTCAGGTGGTGATTCGTATTGGGATTGAAAACGGTTTTCTTGGGATGGAGGGGATTGGGTCCTAGTTGGGTAGGAAACGGGTTGGATGGGGAGGGGTTTACGGAAGTTGGAATTGCCATCTGCATCGGGTTCGGCGGAGAAGAGACGGCGGAAGAGGAGGGAAGAGAGGTGGTAAGGTGGTGGCGTTTTGCAAAAGTAGTGGCGTCGGGTTTTAGAGAAGAGGTGCTTGAAAGCTGCCATTGTTGCGTGTGTGAAGCTTGGAAGTGGAGATGCAGAGGAAATCTGTGCAGAGGGTGGGGTTTTAGGGGCCACAAGGCAGAAGCCAAGGGTTTTGCCGATAAAATAAGAACTTGTTTCCCTTCCCATTTTTTTTTTTTAAATACATTTTCTATTGGGGGATTTGCTTAAAAGGACCGG